CCCAGAATTAGTGGCATCCCTAGAGGCGTCTTAAAGACTCAATCCAGTGTAGTGGAATGGGTATAACCATGACACCACTGTGAAAATATGAGGCCCTCTCAATTCATACGCTAAAGTGTGCTGATATCGGCCGATATAGACCGATAAGACACTAATATGCCTTTGCATATATCAAGCTCAGAATTATAATTTCGGCCACTCCTATTGTCATCTCGGTCAAGGGTGGCGGTCATATTTAAAACGGATCACATGATTCAAATAATCAGTGATCAATTTTCAACAGAAGTTCCCAATTGCCTCCCAACACATAAACTATCAAGCAACCTCTTCATCCAAGACATAAATCATCAAAAGTATAACTAATGCTATTACTCGCGCTCTGTAGGTAAATATGGCGCAGGATATGTCCGACATTATGCACTCTGTCTTATATCACATTTATATGCAGTCAACCATGTACTCTCGACTAACCACTTCCACTACTGATACTTCTATTAATTGTGTGTCTGACGTTAAATCGGAACTATCGAGATCGATCACCACAGAGAGCTCAGTAGTTAGGCAATGTGCACTAACCACTTGACAGCCACCATGTCTTACTCATAATCCAGAGTGCAGTAGCGTTGCACCTCCAGCATGAATTCCATCGGCCAAGTTAGTGTGAGAGAGAGGCGAGTATTGACTAGCAATGTACTGAAAAAAACACTCACCGAATGGGTCAGACTAGTGCGTCCTGCTGAATGCTCTTCAAAGCGTGCGCACCTCGTAGAATAACCAAGGCCACTAACAATCCAACATCGTGCTTCACCCAAATCCACTCCATCATACATGGGAGGATGGGCACACACCACATGCTCGAAACTAGACACTAACTGCCGCTCACTGCCCTTATCGAAGTTCAGTAGCATGCCAATTGTGACCACGATGAGAGTTTAGCGGATGCAGAGCGACACATTGCCAATGCTCAACAAGAGATATTACACTTCTGTGGAGTGTTATAATCTTACCTAGATCTCTTTTAAGTGTGACCAAAAATCATGGTGTTTTGTAGGCCCAGTTTTTGGATTTTATTCTAGTTGGTTTTTAGTATATATAGTATTCTTAGTTCCTTGAGGTGTAATGATGAGGACTTATTACGTCCTCCCCTACTCTTCTCTCATACATGAAGCTTAAGTCTCTTCTCATATGCAGTGGACGTTTCCCTGCACTCCAGAAATATTAGACAAACAACAAATTCAGCGTGCGATCTCACGCCTAAGTGTAAACTACGTTTCTGTAGACACTCATGTGTCAATCAAAGACATCACCAGATGCTCTTCTGTGTTTTGTCTATTGTCAACCTGTTATTGCTTCAGTGTTGATACTATGACGTGCTTTATTGTATTTTATCGAGTGACATGCTAGTACAGTTCGTGGAGAGCAGCCGGGCCGGCGTAAGGACTTTGCTGCGGAGCGAGCTCTAATGGCGAGTCACAAATCTCTACAAGCTTACAACCATTGTGTATGTGGTGCTGATCATCTCTCAGAACTCACTCATGCTCCTGTGTGTATTAATTGATGGAGCACAATGGTTAGACTATGCATATTTATGGTTAAAACAATATAAGGATTAACTCTCTTGTCTTTATTTAATATTTATATCTCTTTCTCCAAAGTAATATCCACTAATGCTCATTGGCTTGTCTGTGTGTTGGCTAACCCCTCGAATAATTGAGATCTTACTACTCACATAGCTGTATATCAAATGCCTCGCTGTACGATTCTACGCTCTGCGCTCTAATTGGGCTATATCCCTGCCTCACCTTTTTGTAGGTGCAGCCGTGCAGTTTATCTCGAGGTAAATAGAGACTGATCTCTCAGCTCATTTTTGATTAATAACATCAGCTCGAAGATACTTACAGCTTGATGCAAAGAGTGTTGGTTCCCCTCAGAGTAAATACACAGGTTTCTCTGTATTAATGTATTTAGCATAGAGCATTTCATCAATATTAATATTACCCGTTAGGCCACGTGTTACAGTTAAATAATATGCATCTCTAGATCAGAATTCAATTTGTACATTCATATATGTGAGCAGTGTATTGTATCCGTGATTGTGGTCCAAGGAGAGTGTAAATGCGTTATGCTGAGTGTATCGGCATCGACCGCCATGGCGTGTGGTCCTCGGTGGTTGATGAAATGGCCATTGCTTGTCTCACCTGATGTGGCATAGGAGTCGACTCTCCTTGTAGCAGAACTCACCACAGAGCTGTGTTTGACAAATGCCAACCTCCTCTCACACTCTAACTCGAGCTCGCAGTTCCCTCATAGTTCTGCTGCAGTTGACTCTTGAGGCCACCAGAACACCCACTATGGGATTATACAGAAAATGTAAAGATGCACGGTGGAACTTTTCTGGTGAAGTAGCAGCACAGTGGCACACTGGCTAGGACTCATGCCTCACAGCAAGAAGGTTCCAGGCACAAATTTTGAAGAATGATATATCTCTACAGGGAAATACTGCAATAAATGATGATATTGAAAATACTTTATGCCACTGACAGAACACAGGAAAATCCAGTAAACAGATTTTAAATACATAAATACAATACAGTTACATAAACATGGCTAAAATCTCCCCACTATTACAAAGACAAAATAGCCATGATAAATATTGAGCCCCAGAATATACTGTTTCTGCTTTCATATACTGAAGTCGACATAGTGATTATTGTGACACACCTAGAGGCTGAGAGTTTCTCGGGATACGTCAGTTCTAGATACACTGGTTGGTAGGGTGTGACGAGACACAATTTCCACGAGAAACAGATAAGACGAGATTTTAACATAATTCCTGTATAAATTTCATGATTCAGTTTCTAATTTTGGTCTCACAATTTAGTATTTATTTGATTTCATATTTTTGTTTCCATTCTAGTACTGCTTTTTGGAAGTGTTAAGGGGACGTAACTGACCAACACGTGACAATTTTTTGTCTTATCCAAATGTAAACACATGGAAAAAATCTCACAAGATCATTTTTCTCATGTGTGCACGATCTTGTGGCAATTTTGTCTCACGAGATCTGGCCGTTATATCAATGTAATATTTGCACATTTTGGCGCGTCAGCTATTTGCCCTGAATATCCATCAAAGGCTCATATGTTGTTTTGGTCCACTGTCTGACTAAAGCAAAGAACTTTAGCTTCATTTGAACACTTTCACATGAAGGCACTGCTCAAAATGCTTCTGCGCTGCTCTGATGGGTTTGCAGTGAATTAAAGTCATGGAGTTTCAAGTTTGTTGTCATTTCATAGCATCATTTCCTGATCTGAAGGTTGGTGGTTTGAATCTTTTCCCTTGTGGGGGAAGTTTGTTTAAGACAAACTTTGTCTAAATCTAATCCCACTTCCTGGCATTTTCAGACTCACTGACCCACAGGTTAGTGGTATGATTCCAGTTACCATAAATGAATGCTGTTGTTGTCCTTGGGCAAGGCACTTAAGCACCCTTGCCCCTAGTGTTTGCGTACACTGTTGTGCGAGTGTGTGTGAATGAGTTTTGAAGGTGGTATGTTTTGTGTGGAGTGTGCCACAGTATGTCATTAAACACATCTTATCTGCTGTCTGTTATCTTAGACGTACTGTAGCTTATATATCTTAAATTACAGACTTTTATTGCTCAGAAATCCCTTGAAAAAACAGCACCTCTCCACAGATCTCACTTGGCAAATTGGCATCACTGACTCAGTAGTGATGGATAAGTTTAAAGGGACCATATTGCATTATTTTCTGATCTATGTTCTAATGTCGTTTCCTCATCACAAACAGACCTGGATTTGTATATTTAGGCTGTGTTCTTCTCTCAACCACAAAACACTCTGTTCTACTTTGTGATGCCATGTGGAAGAGGAAGAGCTCCACTGTGTTTTTACTCTATACACCTTCACTAGAATCTTTTGGATGATGAAATTGCCAATCTACCTCCCTAATACCTAATTTATCTAATTTACCTAAAGGTAAAAGGTTGCTACACCATCACAAGATGGAACAGAGCTTTGTGAGCTTTGGACATGTAGACAAATTAATAATAAAAAATTAGACCTGTCACGATAGCACATTTTGAAGTGCGATATATTGCTGTAAATAAATATAGACAATAAGTGATAATACTGAAACCAAGCATGAAGCTGAATTATCCCTCAGAAAGTAAACACACACGTACGTATCATAAAATAAGAACTGCAATAAATAAATAAATAACAGAATGCAACACTTCAGCAGCAGCTCACATCTTCTCATAGTTTACCAAAATTAAAGGTGCCCTGTGTAACTTGTCCAGTGGGGGGTCTGTCACTTGTCTCCATGGAGATGTGCCTAGAATGTTCCACAGTATGGCCACAAACTTAAGAATCTCCATGGAGATTTGCAAATAAGAATGGATGTTTTTAAAATATTTGTGAGCAATAAATAACATCTGTAGTTAAATAAATGCAAGACAGATTAATTTAACACCACACTGTGGACAAACCAAACCATGGAGACAAACAGGTTGTGGACCCTCTCCAGAAAAGTTACACAGTGTACCTTTAACCAAAAGAAAATGTACCCACAATAAATATGGACTCCCATGACAGGCCTAATAAAGGATTACTCAAACATGTGAGAATGAAACAAAACTCAAGTCCAGGTCTGTTTTTGAGGAGGAAACAACTTTCTAACATGGCTAAAAGGCACAAGAGTCAATTCTGTGTAATATAGGAACTTGCAGTAATATTGAATGAGATTTTGATTGTTCCAAGCATAATATCTGGTAGGAGGTAGCAGGTCCATGAGAAAAGACTGCACCTTTAAAGCATATTAATGATAAGAAGATGAAATGTAAAAGGCAGGTCATGTATCAGATCAGGAAATCTGCCCTAAAACTTGTGTGATATCAAGACACCATAGTGCTCACTGACAGACAGAGGATTTAGTGAGGCAGATCGAATAGATGAACAGAAATATAAACACAGAGTGAGGTTAGCCTGGCTCACCGCAGTACCCGGGGGTCCCACACACCGTCTTCATGGTCACCTGGTCATCGATGATTTTGGACAGACCGAAGTCAGCTGTAAATACATGTACATGTAAACATAGTGTGTGTATTCTACTGACCACTCTAAACCAGGACTAAACCGAGATTAAAACAGATCTAAACCAGGACCAAACAGAGATTAAACCAGGACTAAAGCAGGACTAACCAGAGATCAAACCATGTCTAAACCAGGACTACAGTACGATTAAACTGGGATTAAACGGGGAGTAAAATTAGGGATGCTCTGTTCTGTTACTGGTATCGGATATCGGCACCAGTCCAAGTATCCGTAGACTATTTCATGGTCATGGTAAATCCAGAAAGTCTCAGAATGTTTGAACTTTTATTTATACAAAGTTGTTCTGATGTTACTTGAGAGTTAAATAACAGCTCCATAAAACATTTGGACCAGTTTTATGTTATTTTAGTTTAGTTTAAATGAAATCAATGCTGTTTCCAGTCTGGTGTCTGTTTATATCGGCTACTGGCAGAAACGTAAAGTGATAGTATCGAAATCTGTATCGCAACTGATAAAGCTGAATTGACGCAGGCTTTACTAATACAAAAGCCACCGCTACAAAGATGGATTCGAGGGTTAATGAGGTCATTTAACCGTGGTTTAGATGCACTTTCTATCGGGGTAGGTCGCTATGGTAACATGCCCCAAACTAGGTTGAGTTACCAATGAGAGAAGAAGAATCAGATACAAGAATCCAGCTGCTACGAGCCGAGGGTGTGTGTGTATAAAGAGGCACAAAGGAGCAAGAGTACTACCAACCCCTGGGCTTATTCTGTTACCGCTTATCCAAAGTTACAAGTTGTAGAACCATACAGACCAAAATATCTTTAGCTAAATAAAAGCCAGTTCCACTTGAGTTTTAGTTTGAGAGCTCCAGAGAAGAGCCGAGGGAGGCTTTGAGCAGAGGAAGAGTGGGCGTTTAGCATGTGCTGGTGTGTGGAGCGTGGGTCAGCGGGGCAGTGTGGAGGAGGGCTCTCAAACACCGCCAGCTCTCATCTCCTCTCCAAAAGTACACAGCCACATCCTCCTCCGAAAACACAGAGCCTGTACAGAACTGGATCCCGGAGCGCTCCTGTGGAAGCCCGGCAGCCCGATCGGAGTGCCGGACTCACCGGGACGCCAAACCACACACTCACACACACTCACACACACTCAAGACGCTCCAGAGATGAGGCAACGCACACAGGCTCCTGTAGCACTTAACACACACACTTATACACACACATGTACACACACACTGTTATTCACATATACACACTTATACACACACACCCACATGCGCACACACAGTTATTCACATACACACACACACTTATTCACATACACACACACACACTTATTCACATACACACACACACACTTATTCACATACACACACACACTTATTCACATACACACACACACTTATTCCCATACACACACACAATTATTCACATATACACACACACTTATTCACATACACACACACACACACTTATTCACATACACACACACTTATTCACATACATACAGGCTTATTCACACACACACGCACACACACACACACACTTATTCACGCACACATACTTATTCACACACTTATTCACACACACACACACACACACTTATTCACACACATTTATTCACACACACACTAATTCACATACTGTGGCCATTGAAATACCCTAAAGTGTGAACAGGTGATGGTTTAGAATTCTCTTGACTGGCCCTTTTCTGCCCACATCCTCTCAAAATGAACACTGAAAAACAGCTTCATATCTCCTGTTTTATTTGGTGATAAAGTTAGGGTTATGGCTCAGCTCTGTCTTGTTCTTGATGTGAAATTTGCAATAATTATAGTTTCTTTAGTGTTACAAAGGAAAAATACAGTAACTGCAGCTCAAAATGTTCTAACAGATCAATTCACAGATACTGCACTTTTCTGTTGTTTCACGGGAGTTTCACACAACTCACATATGCTGCTGCATGTTTCTTGGTTTGAGGTTAGCAGTTATAGAGATTAATCTACAGCCCAGACCCATATTTGGAATTCTGGGTCTGGAACCAAAGAGTCAATGAGAAGTGAGGTTGTTGAAGGTACTTGCTCCTTCTAGTGTGCACTGCTGGTTTGCCTGAGAATGCTTATGCCCAGATGCACACAGACGCTTGTCAGTTACTACGGTAACACATGCACATACAAATTACATGTAATATACTATCTTTTATTTGTTTTTTTTTCTTTGAGAACTGTCTTTAACTTACATGAATAACTTAGGTTTCTAAAAATATTCAGAAATATTAAGATAAAAAGCCAAGATAACTAGCAAGACTGACTCAAACTGGGGAATGACACGATACCTGTCACTCAAACCTGTTAGTAACGGTAGCAAGAGCAAACTCTGGGAGAGAAGGAGCCTGATTGGTACACTATGTTCATATCTTGATTTATGGACAAACGTCGCAGCTAGCGGGGTAGTTAAATCCATACAGTTTACGGTCTAAAATGGACAATATTGCACTAAAGTCAGTCTTATCGAATCACAACACCTGCTCATGTTACACACTTTGAGAATCAGAAGGGCATTTTCATCTGGAGATGTACTGAAAATGAGGTGAGGTCATTTTCCTGAATACATTATGGAATCCTACCCACATTTTGAAAGAGTTTAGATGTGGTTTACCCCTGGTGCAGTCCTGTTTACTCTTTTGTCTTTCACACCAGCAGGAACATGTGAGCAGAAAAGTGTGTGTAGTCACCGATCTTGAGCGGAGCATCCAGGGACAGATCGGCGTACAGCAGGTTCTCTGGTTTGAGGTCGCGATGCACTACGCCGTTCTCATGGAGGTACTGCAAAACAACAACACAACACAGCTAACAGAGCAGTAATGTATAGGGCTCCACAACATCTCTTCATTTTCACCAATTATCATTTCAAATTGCATTCATTTTGTCATCATTAAAACTAATTTGTATGTCGAAATATAAGGGTTAGATAAAAAAAAAAAAAAACATGCTGGCGCTACGAGAATAAAGTCGTAACATTTCGACATTAAAGTTGTAATATTATGAGAATAAAGTCGAAGCCAGAAAAAGTCGTAATTTTACAAGAATAAAGTCATAATTTTACAAGAATATAAAGTCGTAATTTTACGAGAATAAAGTCAAAGTTAAAATAAAGTCATAATATTATGAGAATAAAGTTATAATATTACGAGAATGAAGTCGGAATAAAATCAAAGTTAAAAATAAGAAAACAAACAACAATTTTCTTCATTATTTGCGCCTCTGGACTGAACCAGGACTGAACCAGGACTAAACCAGGACTAAACCAGGACTAAACCAGGACTAAACCAGGTCCGAGACCAGACTGGGACTGAGACCAGGACTTAGACAAGGACTGAGTCAGGGACCAAAACTGAGACCGGGATCAGACAAGAACTGAGACCAGGATTGAGACCGGGAACAGGACCAGGACTGAGACTGGGACCAATTCACTACTGGTTCAGTCCTGGTTCAGTCTGTATGCGGCGCAATAGTCCCGCATCACATTTTAAAGTCATGGAAACGCCATTTCCCATTTCCGTGACTTAAACCAGGACTAAACTAGGACTAAACCGTTTTCAGTCCTGGTCTGGTCCCGGTTTCAATCCTGGTCTTTCTGGTTTGGTTCCGGACCTGATTTAGTCCTGATTCAGTCCTTGTTCATTTGAATGAACGAATGATACACGGATTCTTCTCCTTTACAAAATGCTCCAAATTCTCCATTCGCCACTCGTTCAGACTTTCCGAGGAGCCTATATTCTCATAATATTACGACTTTATTTTGACTACGACTTTATTCTCATAAAATTACTACTTTATTCTTGTAAGTTTACGACTTTATTCTCGTAAAATTACAACTTTATTCTCGTAAAAAAAAAGAAAAAAAAAAGACTTTATTCTCATAATATTACGACTTTAATGTCGAAATGTTACCACTTTATTCTCGTAGTGCCAGCATTTATTTTTTTTTTTATCTGACCCTTACACTCCGTCTTAAATTTGTTATTTCTATTATTTTGTATTTTATTTGAAACAACTGGATCTTGATTTGATACAACAAAATTAAAGGCTCTGTATCCTGTATCATTTGAAACGTTTTTGAGCAAAATTTGTGTTACCCCAGTACAGACAGATTATCTAAGCATTGTATCCAAAGACTTGTCCGATAATCAGAAAGTGCACGTTAGCATGCTAGTCATAAATCTCTGCTCTGTCCACTGAGAATAGTGAAAATAAGGTAAGTGAGGACCACTGCAAACTGTTTAAAATTAACTAGTTTTGTTTTCATGTTTGAAGACAATAAAAATCTGGTACAGTGCCTCTCATCATTATAGAGAGATGGATGGATGGATGGCAAATGGCGCTGAGACGGGTGCCTGGTGAGTTTGAGGGAAGACTGAATAACCATTTCAGCCATTCTAAACCTTAACCTAATGCCCAGGGCAGGTCAGTCTGAGTGTAATCTGTGAACAGGAAGTGTGCTAGGAGCAGAAGGGCATGCTGGGAAGTGTAGGAGGAGGCCATCTGTCCCACCGAGCTATGACCGAGCGACCCAGACCCGAGCATCAAAACAAAGTGGGCACAGACACAACAACATGGTGGACTGTCTGGACCTACAGGAGACGATGGATCCACAGAGAGATGGAGGGAAACGGAGGGAGTCAGCTGTTTCCTTAATAGTTTCCCAAATTCTGCCAACTTTAAAGGGCCCATATAACACAATTTTCTGATCTATGTTCTAATGTTGTTTCCTCATCACAGACAGACCTGGAGTTGTGTTTTGTTTCATTCACACATTTGATACTAAAGGCTCACAGTCACAGAGTCAATTTAGCATAACAGGCGTTGTCTAAATTAAACAACAGGCGGACTAATAAAATAAATCACAAGTTTGGGTCCTTGTTAATATTATGGTTGCTAGGTAACAATTATGGAATCTCCTCTATGTATGTCACACCTGCTGCTCATGTCCAGACAGTAGTCTAACCTGTCATACACTTTAAAGCACAGCTGAAACAGTGGAGAAATGCCTTTATGTAGGATATATTGGTTAGAGAGGTGGTGTATGTGTCATGCTGGTGGTTGCTAGGCAGAAGTGACGTTGTTGACATGTTGGAGGTGGCTGTTTCTACGTTTGTGTCATATCATATCACTCATTACATGGACTTTTGCTTTGGGGGCAGTATGAACTTTAGAAAATAGTGATAAAAAAAGCACATTCACTGAAGCTGATTTCCCTTTGAGCATCGATGGAGGAACAAAGAGACTGTAGCTGATGCTACTGCTTCACCCAGTGCAGCTTAAGTTGGCGGTTGCTCAAAGGAACTGTACGTGGTCTAGGCTTTTAAAGTTTTAAAAAAGTTACTACAATCACAACTGAACCTGTGTTACCAGAGCCTTAACCTGCACAGAAAAAAAAAAAAAAAATGTCAAGTTTTTGTCATTCTCAGGACAGGCTATGTCTCATGTGAAAGCTCCAGAATTCACTGAGTGAGCTGCAGAGGCTGCACTAGCACTGATTAATCTTAGTGGTGGAGGTACTGGGGTTTAGGGAGTGAAACTGGCCACCCAGAAGAGAGACTCAAGTGAGGTCAAAACACACTGAACACATGTAGCTCTTATCTGGAGACACAGATAAGGTCAAGTGTATGACACGTCAAATCAAACCCTTACATACAGTTCCTTTAAGTCAGGGGTGTCAGACTATGGCCCTCAGACCATTTTTTATTGGCCCTCAAGCCCTCAAGCTAAACTTGGCCAAGCCCAGTTGATCAGGGCAGTAACTGATGCAAACTCTTCTCCACCTCTGTATACTGCCCTCAGAGACACCTTCCTTCACACCAGTGCGTGACTATGAGCCATACACACGGCACAGCAGGTGGTATCTGAGCAACTAATCACTTGTATAACATATAAGTTGTGCATTTAAGATGGAATCACTGTCACATACTTCACTCTGAGCACACAGGCTTAAGTGAGGAGGGAGCAAATGTGGGGATGAGCAGCTCGGAGGCCTCCAGCTGTGAGACCAAAACACTAAACTGTTGTCAAATAATCATTGTGAAAAAGCTACATTCTCAGAAAACAACATACAGGCCCAAACCCAACTGATCAGTTATTTGAACAGCAAATGTAATTCGCCTCTATAACCTCAATAGCATCACAGTCTGCTATGATGGTGCAGATGTAACATTTATATTTCCAACCTTATTAAATGTGTGGTGCTTCTACCAAAACCATGTCATCCATCTAAAACCTCCATCCATCTGAATGGTCCTCTGTCCTACTCTTTACCTCTGGACAAAGGTTCACTATGTAACTTTCCAGGTGGAGAAGAAAACCAATTGCTTAGTTCTATGGAAATACAATTACTTTGCTTTAATTTTATCTTCTCCATGGAGACAAGTGGCTAACGCCACCAACCTACAGATCAGATCTGTAAAGATGCCAGCCAGGCTCATTGTTAATGATAGAAAAATTTAAAAATGCTGTTTTTCAAGGTAAATGTAGCAATTAAAACACAATTAGATGGATGTTTAATGTCATAAAGTGACAGGCAAAGCAATAACATCTGTATGGGAACGAGCAAGTGGAATATACCCTCCACTCAGTGTTGCCATGTTGGTGTTTTTCCAGCAGTAGTGAATATGCTGTCTTGCTGGTGTTTTTTAACAGTAGTAAATTGGTTGCCATGTCGGTGTGTCTAGATGTTTGTAGCACAGATTGGCGCTCCACACAGCCCAAACAAACTGTGGAGTAATCTGAGCGGCACGCAGAGCAGCCGACCTACATCTGCATCTGAAAACATACGCCGCCTGTGCTTCCTGTAATCCCCGTAATCTGCACAGGCCGTTACATAAGAGCACTGCTGGACTGCCCCTCACACCACCCCCCACCACCCACCACCATAACAGGGTGCTCACTGCACCACAACATCCACTACAGCGGATTAAGACATCTGTTAGGAGTGTGGGCACAACTTTGACAGGAGATTTTATGTGGCGTTGACGAGATTCCCACACGATTACATAATGTGTGCAGAGGCAGGAGGTAAAACAAAGCCACTCGCTCCTTTCACATGTTTACATCAGGGCATTTAGTGAGGGCTACGACTGCATGGATTTAAAGATGTGTAATTTATCCAGTTAACCAAGATCCACATTTCTGTTGGTCAATGATCTGTGTGTTTAATGGAGAGGTCTACAGCCAGACCTCTGTCAGAAAAACACAGATTTACACAACTGTGATAAATGCCGGATTAAAATCCTGCATTGTTTATGTTCAATATGTTTGATATTGAATTTGATCTTTAATTTGTTTCAAATAAAAATTTGATTTATTAATAGATAATTAGGGTAATTTTTTCTGGGGTCAGAGTCAAAATTTTAATTTTATCATTCAACACTTCACCTGACACCCACAACAATTTACACTGCACACGAGCGCTGTGATTGGCTGATTCACTGAGACTATGGACATCTGATTAAAAAAGCCCTGAACAGGTACAGTTTGGCTCATACCTGCAGGATAAGCACCTAATGTGATTGTTTATTGTCCTGATGAATAAATTCATGCAAATGAAATGCTGTGGAAGCCCATAATGCACCTGAACCCTGATTAGCTCACAGAAGCTCTTGTGGTATAGGTCTGGTCAGGACAGCAGCTCTCTGAGTCATACAGACATGACATAGAAGGACTCCAATCAACTGAAGTTTATTTAACAGTCACATAAAACTGAGGAGTCAGCGGATTTGGGACGATCACTGAGCTGAGCAGCTCTGAGGCCTCCAGCTGTGAGACCAAAACACCCTGAGAACTTTGAATTTAGATTCTCAAAGAAATGCAGCATGACAATGAACCAAACTTATGAAAACACAACTTTTAAAGAGCACTCGTGTGCACTTGTGCACTAACAGCTAATTGGTTCTTTGACAAATTGAAATAGAACAACTATTTACATTTAAATAATAGCAGGTCTATTGTTGTCATAAATAGATCCATATTTTTTGACTCACAGTTGGGGCTATGTGTAAAGGTTTGAAGTATGCAGGATAAATTCTAGCACATAAAGCAGAGTCACATACCACATGCTACAGTTATTTAATGTGGCCTCTGTGGGCTAAACAGCGTTATATTGATACTGATAGATACTCATCTCTATGAAACGTGCTCCTCATCTGTCTGAGTCTCTGGAAACAGACCAGTGTGTTCCAGAGGGCTGCAGATGGCACCAGGAAATGAGCTGTGATGTTCTGAAGCCTGATGATTTCTCCTGATATCACGTGCTGCAGAGAGCCTCGGTTTCCTGACCACCGTGTGTGAGGGGCCAGTGAAAACATTGTGTGTGTGAGGGGCCAGTGAAAACATTGTGTGTGTGAGGGGACAGTGAAGGCATTGTATGTGTGTGTGTGTTTGTGTGTGAAGGCAATGTGTGTGCGTATGAGTGTGCATGTGTGTGGGTGTGTGTAGGAGTGTGTGTGTGTGTGTGTGTGTGTGAGTGAAGGCTGTGTGTCTTACCGCCACAGCCTCCAGGATCTGCTTGATGACATGAGCTGCGTCTCGCTCGCTGTAGTACCCACGCTCAACAATCCTGTGACACATGAACACCACACGATTTATCACAAAGTGTAAACCTCGCACACAACACTGAAGTATCCATATTTGTGTATTCAACAAAGAGCAGATGGACAGTATTCTCTAGACTCTGCTGCTTCTGTGTTCAGACAGACACTGGTACAGCAGCATTTTCAGTATTCTGCACCAACGTACTGGAATCACTCACTAAAGGACTAGAAACTAAAGGACTGGTAATAATGATGAGTGGAGTCAGGCCTCTGCAAATGACTGAACTGCTCCTGAGGGACCAGGGTCATTTAGAGAGACAGGGGTCAGAGAGGACCAGAGCAGGTGAGGAGGGAGCCCGAGGAAATGTTTGGAGATGTGAAATCATTTAATACAAAAGAAGTGTATCTTTGAAATGAGACCACTTACATTTTCATGGTCATAGTTCATAACAAAAAGTCCAAGTTTGAGCACACATTTTGAATTAGGGCACAAAAGGGGACAAACCAAAATTACAAAGTAAATTTAAACGACCTAACTAAAGGTGCACTATGGAGCTTTTCTGGTGAAGGGTCCTTCACTTGCTCACTATGCTCTTGCTCTAACTGGAATAATCCACAGTATGACATAATTATCAGTCTTCTGTTTATTAATCAATTACAGTTGTTTTAATTTCTAAAAATGTCTTGCTATATATATTTTAAATGTCTGTGGGATTGCTTCCTCACAGATCTGAACTGTAACTTTGTCTGGTAGCGTCACCTGCTTGTTTCCATGGAGATAGATATGTTTAATGCCATACTATGGAACATTACTAGAAAAGCAAATAAACTCCATGGGGACAAAGCAGCTGTTGAACTCTCCACTGGTAAACTAAATGAATTGTCTCATATACAAATATACAACAGATATATTGTATAAGGAGGGTGAAAAAGAGACAGGAGTGTGCTGTCTGCATCTAATTATAAAATGTGTAATTCTCTGCAAAACAGGAAACGTCAAACGTCTCTCTTGTCTGAGAGTAGTGAAAAGCTCTTATAAACTCATCATGGTGATTTATCATGATGCTCTGAATGCAGAAGGTAAGTGAGGAATAACTCTGGACCACTGCAAACCCTTTAAAAGTAGTTCTGTTTTACACAGGAAAGCAAAAATCTGATACAGCTCCTTTAAAGGTAATAGTTGTTACTTGTGCTTCTGCTGATTTAAAACAGCAATTAAACCTGAGCGGCCATTACCTGCCGTACACTGAGGACATGGGCTGGGCATAATAATAATTGATGGGGATTGGGGTGATGTGAAATTTGAGTACTGTGATATAATTAGTGCTAAAACCTGCTAACAACAAGCGCAGCTAAAAGACTGTGGAGAGTCAAACTAGCCAGCACTGCGAATAGGTCAGAGATTTTCAAAACAGGACAGACCTGTTTGAAATCAGACACTGCCCTCTCTCGTGTTGTTAAAAAAGTTCTATCTCAGTAGTTTCTGTATACACACTGACTGCAGTAGTGTGTAGTATTTCCTGGATGTGTGTAGTAGTGGAGGAGGTGTACCGGTCAAACAGCTCTCCTCCCGTGACCAGCTCCAACACCAGAGCGATGTCTGTGTCTGTCTCAAAGATCTCCTTCAGCTCGATCTGCACACACACACACACACACACACACTTAACTTAACCATACTTACTACTTACTCGGGCTGTGCAAAAATATCTAAATATCAATATATCATATCATTTAATGTGACGATACAGTATAGATATTGGGGGCTACTATATCGATATATCGCCAAGTTTATTTCTTGGTATATTTTACTAGATTATTTTGTTACAGAGCTACAGTTTTGTTGCTTGTATAGAGGAAGGAAACTCATTTATGCAACACATTTGACATTTTCACTGTTTTGATGATTAAAATGTTTGTGTTTCATATGAACTTTGCCCAGCAAGTGTTTTAACAAGACTTTTACTATGGCAACCATGAATTGGCTTTTATTTTTTATTGAACTGTATCGAATTGATTTAAAATATATCGTATCGAATCATATTGAATCGAAAGCTCACTGTATCGAAATATGTATCGTATCATGCCCTGTGTATCGAGGTATATATCGTATCGGCAACTTCTTAATGATACTCAGCCCTACTACTTACCCAGCCTTAACCTGAATCAACCCATATCTCAAAGGTCTTAAGATTACACCAAATTTACTCTCTTAACCCCTGTTAGAATGTTACCTCCTCAAAAACCTCGTGATGCCACGCAGTGGTATTTTTCAAGTTAACAGCTATACCTTCAGTTCAGTAAAGATTGGCAATTCCAGGACTGAAAATATCCAAATGATTCTGGTGAAGGTGTATGGTTTAAAAACACAGTGGAGCACTTCCTGTATTGCCATGAGGTGCCACAAGGTAGTTTGAGAGAAGAACTCAATCTGCAGGGTTTGTGTGTTAAACACAAACAAAACACAACTGCAGGTCTGTTTGTGATGAGGATCAGAAAATTAAACTTGAAGGATCTAACTGTGATGAACTCAACAAATTTTGAGTAACTATGTTTACTATAGTTACTCTTTCATTTGATAGGATTCAAAACACATTTACTTTTATAAATCCAAAGGAATATATTTTGGTAGTTGATCTCACTCCAGATTCATATATGGCCCTCTGAAGAGAGTTATCAGCGTGGAACAGCTCTGGCTGAAAGTGAATGGAAAAAAGGCAGAATGTCATGAGGACTCTTTAGATCTGATAAGTCAAAGTGTCACAACAGTGGAACATTTAACTTTTGTTACATCCAGATGAGAAAAAAGCACAGACGTCTTTCCCTTCAGATGCACGCTCTGTATTTCTGCTGAAACAGCCTGAAGTCCTTGTTTGTTTTGGTTGGTGGTTCGAAAGATGATGTCAGATACTTCCCTTACTTTAGTACTATAGTACTATAGTACTATAGTGCAGTGGTGCTGTGTACATGTGAGACATAACAGTGTATAATGACACACAAACTGTGGCATGAGATACTCACTATGTTTGGGTGGGACAGACGTAACAGCACTCCGATCTCCGTGCGCACGATTTTCTTATCGATCTGAAAAACACACACATATCACTGTCCGGAGGTTTCACTGTTCTAAATGTTCTTAATGTATTTTTCATCTTAGGAGGCTGAACCATTATCTAAGATTTGTTACCCCATACACTCAGCTATCATATACAGTATATCCATACATGTACACTGTACAAGAAACTGTCACTTCAAAGGCACTTTTCTCTAAATGCATTTTTCCCCAGGCCTGTCACCAGAACATATTCTGAAGTGCGATTTATTGCTGAGGTAAGTAGACGATAAATGATAATATTGAAACTACTTGATGCTACTGACCCATGAGCAGATTTAAACCACAAAAACTATTCTAAATGTTGGAGTTAAAGACATGGACTGTAATAAGCAAACAGCAGACTGAAACTCTTTAACATTTAGTTTACATCTGTAATGAGTCATAGAAGTTATTAATTCAACATTTTACAGTTTAAATCTTATCGTACAGCCCATGTGAGAGAAAAATACAAAGGATACATACTGACCATAAAAATATATAGTTTCAGATTTCATATAATGAATAATAAGTCATTATAGTGATTATTGTGACAGACCTATTTTTCCCACACTTTGAGATCTTAAAGTAACAACTTTAAACTAGGCCTGTCACCATAATTGTTATATAGATCATTCAATAAATGAAGGAAATCAATAGGATATGATCGTGTTCCTCTTGTAAAGTGGGACCCTGTGACTCCTTATAGATATGAACTACTCAAGTGCTCATTCTGCTGTTTATCAGTATTATGTATTTAGAAAAGGGGTTCATCATAAACTCTATAAAATGAGCCACCAGCCGCTGCATTCCAAATAGGTGAATGAAAGCATGGGTGTGTTTTGGCCAGTGGGAAGGCAGGGGGCAGTACCTTTAACAACCTCACTCTTGACTGGCTCTCTGGTCTCTGCTGTAAGTGCTGACTTCAACCAAGCACTAGTCTAAACACTGGTCCACTTCCATAGACAGTCTATGGGTTTAATATATGAATATGATTCAATCAATGACTGTTCCAACCCAGCTCGGCTAGAGACAGGGAAGTAACAAAAATAAAACCAAGATGTAAAATGGAATCAATTAAATAATGTTTAATTAACAGGAATGTAAAGGTAAATTAATAAAAAACTAAGTAAAATATACAGAAAATAACCTAAAGTAAGAGACAAAACAACAGACAACGAGTTTTGTGCCACAAAAGGGGTCACAGAGGCTTATACAATAACAAGTGGTTAAACTAAGGGACACACACTAAACAAAAACACAAGCGCCCCAAATTAAACCACATAAACCCACTAACAGAATTGAGTGACCAAATCAAAAAGGCACAAAACAGAGCTAAACTAAACCACATACACCAACACAAAATGGCAGACTGACCACCAAGGCCAGTAGCCCTGAACAGGTGCTGGTAATCTTCTTAAATAGGGGGAGGTGGCTGCAGGTGAGGTGGACATGCCCCACCAATCACAAACCAGGGCTCCTGCAGCAGGAATCAAGGTGTGGCAGCAGACTAATTTATAACACACAAAACAAATTACAATCTAAGGCCTGGGGCCGTAACAATGACCATTTATCATCATAAAAAAACCACACATGTTGTTTTGTATTTATGTCACTAAACCAGAGAACATGTTTCCTGAACAGCCCTGACTCAGTGAGTGGACCTGAGGAGCAGCTCACCGTTTTCTTCAGCACTTTGACGGCGTATGGCTTCTGCGTCTGCTTCTCCTCACAGCGGTACACCACAGACGTCGCTCCTCTGGACACAACACAAGTACAAGTACAAGTACAAGTGAGTGAAAGGGTAACATGCACACACACTCCTCTGAGGGACACAACACAAGTACAAGTACAAGTGAGTGAAAGTGTAACATGAACACACTCCTCTGAGGGACACAACACAAGTACAAGTACAAGTACAAGTGAGTGAAAGTGTAACATGAACACACTCCTCTGAGGGACACAACACAAGTACAAGTACAGGGCAACTGAACTCAAACCGTTGCACAACTCCTGTGCTATGATTTTAAAGATTTGTTCTGACCCAGTCTGTGTCTGTTTCTTAATCTGAAACTCCAGGAGTATTTGCACTGGGAGCAGGGAGGTCACACTGTCACTTGTCCATGGTGTTGTTTTGCCCATCTTTGTTTCCTTTTTGAGTAGAGATCGATCAGCATTTTTATGTGGTGCTTGGTTTTGTGACAAATGCCAGTAGTACTATTTTAGTGCTAGCAGAGCAGTCGATGACTGATAATTACAGTGAACATCAATGAATTTTAGTCTGGACCACAGCTTTGTTTCCTACACACAAGTGTAGTCACATTTAGTGCAGCGCCCCCTTCTTATGGACTGAAGTTAAATCTGCTCAAAACCTCATGGATGTTCTCTGGAGGTATCAGTCTGTGCCAGAGGTAAAGTGAGAGCCATTGCCCGAGTGCAGGGCAAATTCACGCTCTAGAATTAGAATAAAATAAAGTTATTACTTTATTTCATTTGACGTTGAACTTTGTGCCAGTTTTATTTTCTTGTGAAAAGGTCCAGTAAATACAGAGATATTCCCATAAACCAGATTACATGTACTCTCTTGTCTGTCCTGTCTCTTCTTCTGTTCTCTCTCTTCTGTCTCCTCCTCATTTCTATCCTCATAGAACAAGTGTTGTCACGACTTAATTTCGACACTAAGGAATGACTCGATACTGGTTCTGTTACAATGATGATAATAAAGACAAAAGAATGTGATTTTTATTCCCATGTGGATTTACAGTATATGTGTGTAATCCTCAGTGGTCCAGTAGGTTCCATAGTGTCCATGTGTGTATACTGGTCTATGTGCTCTTCTGTTTGTTCTGATACAGCTCCACATCATTGTAAAGACATTCAGGAGAGCTTCATTTCTGTCACGTGAATGGGACTGTTTTTGTATGGATTAAGTAAAATTCTGCAATGTTAAATATCAAACCCAAGATGTCCCGAATACTGAATAATGTCCCAACAAAAGTTCCCTCTCCCCGTCGCCTCAGGGCCAGGTTGCCATGGTAACTGCCTCCCAGTGATGGCAGGTGACGGCGTGTGACAGGGGTGTTGATGGTGTGCTCACAGGTCGGTGATCTAAGCGCTGAATCAGACTTTATGGTTTGGTGGTTTCTATGGCGATGGATTGATAATGATGTTTACAGTAAATAACCAAAGGTTCATGCAGACACAGGCCCATCATCACTGCACAGCCTCCTCAGCCTCTCCTGCTCCTCCTCTTCACCACACACACCGTAGTCCCTATACTTCCTGTCTGCCACTCTCTCTACCGCTGCACGCCGGAAACTACAGAAACTCTTTTTGGAAAGTATAGTGACTCCCTGGGGATGAGATGCTAACTGAAGGTACTACACAATCTCAAGATGGTCAAATCAGACATTAATCTGAGCTTTGTTTTAACACAATCTGACCAGAAAGAACTGACTTTTTGAAACCACAACAGATGAGTAGATTTGTGCTGTTCAGCAGGTCCCTCTCAAACATTACAGTCACAAGGTTTAGGAACATTAGCCAACACTTTTTCACTTTCTCACATTTTTGTTAAACTTAAACAGGACCATGAATGCTTGTGTTGATCGGTCTCCTGAAAAGGTGTTTTTTAAATCCATTTTGTATCCTATAACTTTTTGCTAAAAGTGCATTATGCAAATTTTGAGACTAAAACTGCTGGTCTTACTTTGTGTTTTCTGAAGTCAACGTCTCGCTCTCTGTTTGGCTTCAGAAAAGCAAAGTAAGGCCAGATGTTTTAGTTTTAACTTGCTTATAATGAGTGCATTGTGTCACCATGGTAACTAATGAACATTCCACCATAGAGACACATGTAGCACACCCCAAGATGATGTCATGTATCAACAGCAATCAAATATAAAACTGCAAATTGAATAGTCACAACAGAGAGAGAAAAACCCCAGACAAACTGCAGCAAAACCCGTGTGCAGTTCTTAGAGTGCAATGAAAACACAAACAAACTTTGTGTTGATTTTGTGGTGATTTTTGCCTTTTTCAGGTCAGAAATTTTTCCTCATCCAAAATCCTTCAGTTGCTTTAAAACCAGCTTTTTAAAGTTGATCTGTCAGAGTGGTTCAGTTGTACCTCATGTATCGAGTCCATTAAAGTGCACTGTGTAACTTTTCTAGTGGTGGATCCATCAACTGCTTGTCTCCATGGAAATGCAATCACATTGTTCAGAATGTTCCACAGTATGAAATTAAAGTAATCTATCTTCTATCCTATCTTCTAGGATTCTATACAATGTAAAAGGCCCATCTCAGGTTATTTCCTGATCTGTTCTAATGTAGTTTCCTGGTCACAAACAGACCTCGAGTTGTGTTTTGTTTCATTCACATGTTTAACACACAAACCTGTACTTTTTAAATTTAACACACCTTCACTAGAATCAGTCCTGGAAATGCCAATCTCCACCAAACAAAAAGTAAAAGGAGCTATCAACCTGAAAACTGCTGCTTCATGACATCACAAGGTGGAGCAGAGCATTCTGAGCTCTGAGGAGATAAACAACAACTCCAAGTATGTTTTTGATGAGGTAACAATATTTTAACGTGACGAAAACCTCACAATATGTGTAATATAGGACATGTAAACAACTCTCATAATTCCACTCTCATAATTGCCTGGTAAAGGGCCGGTATGTCGATTTGAGTTTATTAGGTCAAACTGGAAACACTGCTGTTATATTGTAGTTAGGTGACTTTCCTGTAGAGAGCTGAACAAACCATCTTTTATTACATGATGACGTTTGTGCAGAGATCACCTGATGAACACAGCCCTCTGCATCTCCACACAAGATAACGCCGCATTATTCAGTGTCATGTCATTATGAACCACAGGATGGAGTCAAGAGCCAACAGCGCTCTGAGCCTGGTACCTGTGAAACTGACACGTCCCAGAACTCCTCCTCTCTGCAGTCTGAGCCAGTCTTTAAAGGGTCTCTACCTGATCTTAAGGCTCTTCACATGTCACATACTGAGATCACCATGTTTGCTTTCATTGTTTTGAAAATGCTATATTTGCAGAAAACAACATAATAACAAGTAGAGCCCGACCGATATGGATTTTGCTGTGGCCGATATGAAACCAATATAATGGAAGTTGGAGCTGCCGATAGCCGATATAATCACCGATATATTTAGTGATGTAAAAATTCACTGTAAATGTTGAATTGTTTAAAAAACAGGTTTGGCTCTGGTGGATTTTAAATTGGGTTTATTTAGGCAACATTTATTGTTATTCTGCCTCTTTACATCATATTTACAGACAGTAGGTTGACTTAATGGCATTTTTGCATCACATTCTAGACACTAGTGATGGGTATTCCAGTTCTTTTTAGAGAACCGGCTCTTTTGGCTCGGCTCACTAAAAGCTGCTGGTTCTTTTGGCTCCCAAGTGGCTCTTCAGATTGTTTTGTTGCAAGCAGGACTAAAGCAGGACTGAACCAGGACTGAAAAAGGACTAAACCGGGACTTATTTATTTTATGCTAAACTACAGCCAAATATGCTCGTTTTTTTAATTTTTTTTTAATCCTACGTACACGCAAATTTCTCAAAGTTTCGTTTTTAGCCGCTGCCGCTGTCAAACCACGAGTCTGCACGCGGCGTGAAGAGAAAAAAAGTGAGAGAAAGAGAAAACACGGCTCCCAATAAGGATCAGGCTCCCGTCGTTCCCTTCAAAGAGCCGGTTCTAAGAGTCATTTCGTTCGCGACGAACCCATAACTAGGAAAGACAGTATCGCTATTAGCCTTTAGCCGTAAATACGTGCGCGCCGCGGTAATTAATTAAATGCGCAAATGTCATAATTCACACGTCTGTTCACAGCTCATTTACATGTCAGTGCAGGTCCAGTAGCAAATATACGGCCAATATAGTCACTTTAGAACAGACCAATAGAAAACAGTCTGTTTATGTGCGGGAGCTACAGCAGCTAACCCATAACAAATGACAAAAACTAGCTTCAGAGTCGACATATTTCCAACACTCACCGCTCACACAGGCTCCTCCTCACATCACAAATCTGCACTAATAAATGTCCTTTTAATCCAGACTCAAACCGATTGTCCTTAAAAAGAAAATAATCTCAGTGTTTGGATCTATGTCTGCAGGTCTAAACAAACACATGTGAGTGACGCGACTCTGTGGTGTGTTCAGGGACAGTATGGACACACACACACAAATGACTCCGTAGATAAATACTGATGTGGAGCCACATATTAGGACATTTATCTGTCTGTAAATTGGATTAAATGAACAGAATGTAGAGAGTCTAAGCTTTATAACGAGGTATAACATGCCCACGTGAAATATCGGCCCCTATCAGCAAGCATATCGGCCGATAGCCGATATGCCTAAAGTTGCCCATATCAGCCGATAATATCGGCCAACCGATATATCGGTCGGGCTCTAATAACTAGTTGTACTTTTGTTTTTGATGCTCTGCACATTGTATCAGGTTTGTCAAGTTGCTGTGTACAGTTTTCTATCAGGCCTTTGGATATTGATGGAGAATTGCCGTGTGGGAGCATCAGTGACGAAGGCTTATGGGTTGAGTCTTGAAAGGGATTCTAATGCTAACCATAAGGGGGTTCAAATAGAGCCCAGTAGAGATCGCTAGATTACGCCAACATGCATCCCACATCTCAAACCTCTTCATGTTTTAATGAGAGAACATTACAGCATGGTAGAAAGCTCAAAAAGTCAATTTAGCATTGTTTTCTTGGGTTATATTTAAAACAGAAGTGAATGACAGGCTCACCTCTTATTCAGCCATTCACTAAGAATCAGAGCCCAGATACTTGCTTTTCTATCATGGTGCATTTTCAAGAGTGACAAAAAACAAATGTATTGAAAATCTGATAGGCCTACTAACTGATACTAAAACTAGTATCAAAACTAGATCCTCATTTGAGCAGGTATTGATATTTTAAAAAAGTCCCAGGACAGGACAGAGATGAGCCTTTCCTGAATGTCTTTAGAATGATGTTGAGCTGGATCAGAACACACATAGACTAGTAAACACACATGGACACTCTAATACTGCACCACTGAGGATCACACACATATAAGACACATGGGAATAGAAAATAACTTACCATTTAATGTTGAAAGCCACATTCTATTGTCTATAGAAATGGTATTTTTTAGTTTCATTGTGGTATTGGGAATCAAAATTGACTCTAGTCCTTCGTATCAAAATCAAGTTTGAAGTTTTAGTTTAAAATGTTAGTATGGTGGTTCACACTCACAGTGCGCTTCTTTTTCCTCTCAACCAATCACCTCACCTCTCAAGACATCAGCCTCCTCAGCCTCTCCATCTTCTCTTCTAAACCTCATCTTCTTCCTCACCATCATCGTATCTATCTATCTATCTGTCTATCTGTCTATCTATCTGTTTATCTATCTATTCTATATCTGTTTATCTTATCTATCTATGCCTCAGAAGGAAAACAACTCCAACAAACTCATCATGTTCTGTCTTCATCTCTGGCGTCTCTACCAGCTGGGACCAAGCACCAAAGTTTAGACCTTCAAGATTCAGGGATTTATTGTCATTGTCACAAGTAAAAATGAATTCAATAAACCAATCACCATTTTTTGTTTGACAGGTCAGATTGGATTTTGGATTTTACCATACACTGTTTTTGTTAAAAGGAAATCAATTATACTTTCAGTCTCTGCCCTGGTATCAGTTCATATCGGTATCAGCAGATACTTAAAGTATCAGTTTCTGTATCGTAACAGAAAAAGCTGGATTGGTGCATCTCTAATTCAGGTCACGATATAATTTTAAGAATAAAAAAAGTAGAAAGCAATAATAACTCATTTTGACTCAATCTATAAGTGAAAATATTGTGTGAATAGAAGAAACTGTAGGATTACATTGATTACATTGTTGTTTAGTCTGAATGATCTTAATATTTAAATCCTGACATCATGACTTCCATAATCAGGACTTAAAGAGGTGTACTAAAGGGTTAATAAATGATCTAAACCAAGAAGAAGCCTAAATCAGGACCAGTCCAGAAATACACCAGGACTTAACCAGAACAAACACAGGTACAAAGATTAGAACCTTGGTCCTGGTTTTAGATCAGTTTAGTCCATATGAGGACCTGGTTTGGTCTTGTTCTAATCCTCTTTTTGAACAAATTTTAGTGTGTGAATGAGTCTTAATAATAACAATCCAAATCAAAGAGTGCGTTCACACACTTGTTTAATCCTGATGTTGACTTGGTTTGGTCTTTGGTCTTGTTTTAGTTCTAGTTTTAGCCGTGGTTTGTCCTAGTTTAGTCTCAGTTTTAACTGAAACTGATTATGCATGAAAGCTACGACTTGAACAGGTCTCCAGGATGTAAACCATATCCCAACAGAACCAAATGAGGACTAAGCCAGGATTATATCTGCTCAAACCAGGACCAAACTAGAAAAAAGGGTAACTTCATATTTGGTCTGTTGGTGTCTCTGGTCCCTGCACATGTGTCCGTGCGTGTCAGTGCGGTCCAAACCTGCCCAGCTCGGCTCCCAGGGTGTACACCTCCTCCACGGTCCCGTCCCGCCTGGAGCCGTCCACCCAGAACTCCTCCGCGGGCTCCGAACCGGGCTGGGACGTCGGCATGGCCAAGGTGGGTCCGAACCAGCGGGGACGGAGGGGGTAATCCGGGACAACTCTTCTGATTTAAACCCAGATTAGAGGCGAGGAGGATGGGGGATACGCATGCTCCTAACTGCGAAGAAGAACAAACAAATCCAGTTCACACTAACGATTTTATAATCCGTAAAGAAGCGTCATCCACTCGGAGCCGATGCGACGTCGCTTCCATCAGGCCTAAACACCTCCTGGATGCGGGAGCAGCTCACTCCATCACCAGGCTCCCTCCCGCCCTCCGCTTAGCCGTGTTTCCGTGTGGTTTCCCCGCGTCTCCCCTGGCACCTGCCGCCTCTTCCCTGCAGACACCCACCCCGACAACACCTCCACCTGCTCGCGTTTAAACCAGGAAACACCCGGCTCAGCTCTCGCAGTTGAGCCGTTTTCGTGCTCGTTTCCCGGGTCGGTTTTTTCCAGATGTCCGCTGTGAGTGCGGAGCGCGGAGCGGAGCAGACGCGGCTGCCCCTCTGTCCGCGCCTCCACCAATCACAGCCCGGTGTACTGCTAGAAACAGCACTCTTCCAAATATGCCCCCCTCCTTGGCACTGTATCTGTATCAAAAATATATGTTTGTGATGAGAAGAATACTTTGAAAAAGTATTTAGTTACAGAATACTGAATACCCAAATGAAAAGGTATTTGGTATTGTATTCTGTTTCATGGACTAATCAGAGTACTGCAGTCTGAATATTCAGAATACTTTTACACCAAGATACATTATATTATAGTGCAATAAAACATGACAATCACACACACACACACACACACACACACACACACAAATAATCATATTTTGTGTTATTTTGCAGTTGTTTATGTCTAATTAAGAGCTATAATGATACAGTTCATGTGTGTTCACATGAACAGTTCATTTGTGGAATTTGCATTAATAACTGCTTTAATACTGAGATGGGAGAGTATGTTTTTATTTACAATGAAAACCTGTTTTTACATTGAATAACCAAGTAATACTATGAACAACGTGACACTGAACTAAACAAGACTGAGGAGAAGATATTTACATTCACCTTTTATTCATATCACCCAGAAAAATTGTGGAGAAAAGGTTGGCCAAGAAGGAGGAGGGTCACATTTTGACAAGGGTGAGTTTTAGGGCACAACACCGGGAGAGCAGCAGCTCCGCTCGCTCATTGGACGAAAGCAACGCCGCTCAGCGCAGCCCGCATCGGCAACCTAAATACAGAAATAACCCAGATGGATCAGATGAGGATCCATAGATGCGGCTCGTTTACGTGACATCTGGACGCTTTTAAGTGGTGAAAAAGCAGCAGCAGTTCTGCGTGGAGACAGTGGCGCTTTTACTCTTAACATGGCGTGAAACGCGCCTCCGGGCCGTGTAATTACACATTTCGAGCGCGTAATGAGTTGATTCGGTGTTGCGGGCGTGTTGTGACAGGTTCTCTTGTATCATTATGCACATTACAATCTAGTGTCGCGTTATCTATAGTGTTTAACCTGGTTTTGTCCCTGGTAAGTTTGAGTTACTGTTTCCATGGCAACAGATATCTTGGCCCACTTCTAATTTGTCAGCTGGTGTCAAAGTTTTTTTGTTTTTTTTGTTTTTTTAAACAGCCTAAAATCCTCTCATTAACTCTGAGGCTACACTTCAAAGTACAGCTTTGCCTAGTTTGTTCCTCTGTGGTCGTCATGGAGACACTCACGGGAGGCCACCAGTCCAGGTTACACGTCAGATCTGTGGAAACATCTGTAGTGTAATAAATAAATACAAGATACATTCCAGACAAAGTGTAATCCCCTCATGGAGAGGAGCAGATTGTAGATCCTCTCAAAAGTGACAAACTCTTCCTACTACACCAGGTGCATGTAGGAAATGACCAGTATTCTCTACTTTGCCTCTCGACTTTCTATAGATTACCTGAGTGCCTTTAGTCAGAGACTGGGTGACAAAGTTAGAGTAAACTACATTTGCTCTTATTCCCTGTGACCTACAGCGCTGTACTTTAGGACTGCTCTCTCTAGATTTATTCTATTCACACCATTCTCTGATATTCCTCAGTTTTCAGCATTTTCATGTATTTGTTCATTAATTAAAGGTGTAGCCAAAGACAAGATAATATAAAAACTAAAAATAGACATATTGGACACGGGCCTTCACAGAAGGTTTGTCAGTAGCCTATAGTTGATATGGGTCAAGATCTTGACGTGAGTTTCTTGAGACATTTTAGATCCAAAAAGCAGGGCTATAACAACAACAACAACAATGTATGAAATAATGTCAATCAAAAATGGTGAAGTCAAATTGAACTGCACATTTTATTTACTCAAAATATGTGAAAAAATCTTGTCTTGTGGTCGCAATCTTGTGTCTCATCTTGTGAAAGTTGTGTCTCATCCCTCCCTTATAGGACAGCTCACATACTGACTGAGAGTCTTCCCCTTAGGGCTCTAATGATAAACATGAATCTATCTGTACTTCTATGAAATATGCCTTTAATATAACCAAATCAAAAACCTAACCTGTCTGTCACACTTTGCCTAAAATGTCTGGATCAAAACCTGATCCTTATGTCAGTCTCCTGGATAAGGCAGTTATGTGAAACCAGGATCCTGTGACTGGGATCCTCCAGCAGTGCTCAGGAAACTGAGGCCTGTAGATGCAGGAGCCTGACTTAGGAGTGACCACTCCCAAAATGACTCAAAGTTACCAGGGCTTTTTAAAACTGTCAAAAGGGATATTACTATTCACTCATAGCATTAGGGCCACAGGAGCTCAGTTGGTAGAGTTTGTCCACTGATCTGAAGGTTGGCGGTTAGAATCCCGCTCTTGACAAAAACATAAACGGTCAGATCCAGTGAGTCGGTTCAAGGTCTGATTTCAGCTCCCACAGAGTGTGGGATGTTGTTGTTGTGTTCTTGGGTAAAACCCACCTCATTCCTAGTGTTTGTGTGAGTGTGTGAGTGTGTGAGTGTGTGAGTGTGTGAACGGTTCCTTGATATAAAGTGTTTTGAGCTTTGAAAGTGGAAAAGTGCTGTATAAAAATGTGACCATGACCACTGCAGACTACTGTAGAATAAAGTCACTATTTTCATTGCTGCAGACGTGTTGTACTCTGACTCCACCGACACCGTGACACTCTGCTGCACTCTCTACTGTGAACACCTGCATGTTCTACTGTTATAACACCTGCATGTTCTACTGTTATAACACCTGTATGTTCTACTGTTATAACACCTGTGTGTTCTACTGTTATAACACCTGCGTGTTCTACTGTTATAACACCTGCGTGTTCTACTGTTATAACACCTGCGTGTTCTACTGTTATAACACCTGCGTGTTCTACTGTTATAACACCTGCGTGTTCTACTGTTATAACACCTGCGTGTTCTACTGTTATAACACCTGCGTGTTCTACTGTTATAACACCTGCGTGTTCTACTGTTATAACACCTGCGTGTTCTACTGTTATAACACCTGCGTGTTCTACTGTTATAACACCTGCGTGTTCTACTGTTATAACACCTGCGTGTTCTACTGTTATAACACCTGCGTGTTCTACTGTTATAACACCTGTGTGTTCTACTGTTATAACACCTGCGTGTTCTATGTTATACACCTGTATATACTGTTCTACTGTTATAACACCTGCGTGTTCTACTGTTATAACACCTGCGTGTTCTACTGTTATAACACCTGTGTGTTCTACTGTTATAACACCTGCGTGTTCTACTGTTATAACACCTGTATGTTCTACTGTTATAACACCTGTATGTTCTACTGTTATAACACTGTATGTTCTACTGTTAAACACCTGTGTTCTACTGTTTATAACACCTGCGTGTTCTACTGTTATAACACCTGCGTGTTCTACTGTTATAACACCTGCGTGTTCTACTGTTATAACACCTGCGTTTCTACTGTTATACACCTGCGTGTTCTACTGTTATAACACCTGCGTGTTCTACTGTTATAACACCTGTGTGTTCTACTGTTATAACACCTGTGTGTTCTACTGTTATAACACCTGTATGCTCTACTGTTATAACACCTGTATGCTCTACTGTTATAACACCTGTATGTTCTACTGTTATAACACCTGTATGTTCTACTGTTATAACACCTGTATGTTCTACTGTGAACACCTGCATGTTCTACTGTTATAACACCTGCATGTTCTACTGTTATAACACCTGTATGTTCTACTGTTATAACACCTGTATGTTCTACTGTTATAACACCTGTATGTTCTACTGTTAACACCTGTATGTTCTACTGTTATAACACCTGCATGTTCTACTGTTATAACACCTGCATGTTCTATAACACCTGTATGTTCTACTGTTATAACACCTGCATGTTCTACTGTTATAACACCTGCATGTTCTACTGTTAACACCTGTATGTTCTACTGTGAACACCTGTATGTTCTACTGTTATAACACCTGCATGTTCTACTGTTATAACACCTGCATGTTCTACTGTTATAACACCTGCATGTTCTACTGTTAACACCTGTATGTTCTACTGTGAACACCTGTATGTTCTACTGTTCTACTGTTATAACACCTGTGTTCTACTGTTATAACACCTGTATGTTCTACTGTTATAACACCTGCATGTTCTACTGTTATAACACCTGTATGTTCTACTGTTATAACACCTGCATGTTCTACTGTATAACACCTGCATGTTCTACTGTTATAACACCTGCATGTTCTACTGTTATAACACCTGTATGTTCTACTGTTAACACCTGCATGTTCTACTGTTATAACACCTGTATGTTCTACTGTTATAACACCTGCATGTTCTACTGTTATAACACCTGTATGTTCTACTGTTATAACACCTGCATGTGTTCTACTGTTAACACCTGCATGTTCTACTGTTATAACACCTGCATGTTCTGTTATACTGTCTACTGTATACACCTGTGTGTTCTACTGTTATAACACCTGCGTGTTCTACTGTTATAACACCTGTATGTTCT